AGGGACTTTCTTGCCAAAATTTGCAATCCTTTTTCACCAATGTGAGCCAGTCTTTTGTGCCACAAATTTGGCGAAGCATCATCTTCGACTGCATTCAATCCACCCTTGATCCGCTTCACTTGAGTTCTGTACAGTGTCGATCTCACTGTACCTCTAGCAGCTAACAACGATCCTTTGGTAAGCCTCCACGTGCCGTTACCAAAACTGTTAGTATAGCCTGCTAGATCCAATGCATGCACAGAGATCAGATTCAGACGTAAGTCTGGTATATGTCGTACGTCCTTCAGTGTTATTGTGCACCCAATATCAGTTTGAATGCACACATCACCAACTCCCACAATATTTGCAATGCTGTTGTTGCCCATCTTTACTTTACCAAAGTCTCCTTCTTTGTATAGAGAAAAGAATTCCTTGTGAGAGGTTGCATGGTATGATGCTGCTGAGTCAATGACCCATTCAACACATGAATCAACAACATGACACTCTTCTTCTTCAACAGAGAGCAACACCACTTCCCCATTGATCACAGGGGTTGCGGTATTTTCACCGTTCTCTGATTTGTTGTTCCTCCAACCTCTGTTCTTCCAGGCTTTGCAGTTTCTTTTTATATGCCCTTCTTCACCGCAGTGATAACACTTGAACTTTCTCCTGGGTTGAGATTATGATTTATCTCTAGATTTGTTATCCCGACCTCTGCTTTTACTTCTCCCCCTGGTTTCTGTGACCAGGGCTTGAGAGCTGCTTGCCCCTGAGTCTTTTCTCCTTGTTTCTTCATTAAACATACTGTCTTTGACTTGGGTCAAAGTCAGTTTTCCCTCAGGGGCAGAGTTGCTTAACGAGACCACCAGAGTCTCCCAGCTATCCGGTAAAGAACTCAAAAGTAACAGCGCCTGCAGCTCTTCATCAAGTTTCATCTCCATGGTAACAAGGTTGTTCACCATGTCTTGAAACTCATTCAAGTGTTCTGCAACTGATCTTCCATCCCGATATTTTAGATTTACAAGCTTTCTAATGACAAAAGCTTTATTCTGTGCAGTCTTCCTCTGGTACATCTGTTCAATTTTGTTCCACAGAGTATGGGCTTTCGATTCTGTGGCAACATGGTGGAATATGCTGATATCCACCCACTGTCGGATTAAACTGACAGCCTTCCTGTGTAACTTTTTCCAATCGTCATCCTTCACATCATCTGGCTTGTTGTCTCCCTTTTCTACAGGATCGTACAGATCTTTGTAGAAAAGTATGTCCTCCATTTTTGGCTTCCAAATGGAGTAATTTGTTGCTGTGAGCTTCACCATGGTACCCACGTTCTCCTCCATTTAATTTACACTGGCCGATACAGAGCCCAACTTGAGCTGTGATACCACTTGTTAGGCTCAGATGCGCAATGCGGAAAATGTAAATTAAAATACTAACGTGAAATGGTGAATATTAGTCCCAATCCCAGCAACTCAAGAATGACAAAAAAAATCTCTTGCAATAAAACCGGAATAATTTTTTTCTGATGTGGAAGTTCAGACTAAACTGCGACCACAGAGCATACTAAGAATATCCCAAATAAATAAAATATGCAAGAAATAAGACACCAAGATTTAACGTGAAAAACCTCCAAATAGAGGAAAAAACCACGGGACAACCTCCGAGCAATTCCACTATATTTTCAAGATAATTACAATATCTTTTCACACTCCCTTACACTAGAAATGTAAAATATAGTGACCCAGTGAGAACCCCACTCCTAAACAAAGAGTAATAGAGTTGATACCCAACCCGGTGTATTTTTCCCACACTCACAGGATTTACTCAAACACTCTATTTTTATCTCACTGAAAAATAACACTCACTCCAGAAATATTTTTTTTCTGCTCTTTTTTTCTTTCTTCTTCTTGGTGCCTCTTCAACACTGCAAATGCACCTATTTATAGCAGAGAAAGATTCTTTAATTTGTTAAACAAATTACACCAAATTGTATAAAATATTTTTGGTTCACTTTCGGTGTTTGTCCATAGCCTCTGACAACTAATTTTTGTTGAACCACCACATGGGATGATTTGACTGGATCTACAAAGTTGCCTGTGAAAATATGATGTATTTCTGTCCCCCAATTAAGCCCATTCTCGGAATGATTTTTGAAGAAAAAGTAACTCCTCTTGAAGGATTCCATCATCCAGTTCTTTACGTAGTCGTTCACTGAATGCATTAAATTTTGCAGTCTTTGTATTCAACTATATTAATCAATATTATATTATATAATATAATCAATTGAGAAATGTTTTTCTAGATTGTCCAATATCTCGTATACATCTTCTAGTCCAAAATTTAAATTTGTAGAAGATCTTCTTCACTCTTATTTAAGAGGTCAAATAGTGGTATAGATTTTGGACCTTTTGAGGCGATTATAGACTTTAGGAGACAATTTGGATTGTTCTCGACTTCAATGCTATTTTTGTTTTTGCTGTTTATGAGTTTATCCAATTTATCGTGAAAAGTAAAAAGGGATAAAAGAATCTTGTCTTGATTGTTTTCTAAAGGTAAGTTTTCTTCATACATGATTGACAAATATAAATATATTCATTGATTTTTTTTTTCAACCCCGCCTAAGAGCTAGGCTCAAACACTAAAAAAAAAATGTCTGTATTCCAACGGAAAATCCTACGTCAATATATTCCAACAGTGTTTTACCTTAAAAATATCCGTTTAAAGTATATAATTTTCGTTGAAATTTTTATTTTTGTACCGATAAAGTCGATTTTTGCGATAGAGTCGATTTTTGCTCGAAAATCACCAAGGCGGAAAACTCACCTAGACAACTTCTTGTAATCATGGCACCGTACTTTTTATTTCTTATGTGAATTATATAACGAGTGTGGTCCGATGGATATGTATGTTTCTCATTTGTTTTTATCAGATTTGTTAGTGTGGTCCAATGGATTTCACATTGAACACATTTCTCATATTTATGTAATGAACATGGAATTTAAGGACCACAATATTCCAAACATACGCAGTGCCAAACACAACACAACAGATAAGAGTTGTACTATAAATAACCCACACTGGGCGCATTTGAGAGGGCAAAATTTTAAAATTGGTCCTATAACTTGGCCACTGTCCAAAAAACCACCCCTATATTGACCACTTTCAATTTAGGTCCTATAATTTGTCAATTTCATCAATTTTGGTCCTTTTTATCCGGACCCTGGATTAAAAAGTGACGTGGCATGACGTGTCATTTTTTTAAGGTTACATGGCGTGATTATGATCTACGTGGCACGTCAATTTTGGTCCTATAATTTGTCGATTTCATCAATTTTGGTCCTTTTTTCATGCCACGTCACTTTTTAATTCAGGGTACGGATAAAAAAGGACCAAAATTGATGAAATCGACAAATTATAGGATCTAAATTGAAAGTGGTCAATATAGGAGTGATTTTTTGGACAATGGCCAAATTATAGGACCAATTTTGAATTTTTGCCCATTTGAGAGACCACACAAGACACAACATAATCAATCTATCAATCTCAGACAACAAAGGAATTAATTGAGGAGATGATTTGCGAAGGTAATTAGCAAAATTAGTGCTTAATTACGTAATTATTAATTCTTTTGACTTGCTAGTCAAAGTAAATTTACGCAATTTTACAACAATGCAGGCAAACAAAGTTGGCCGGAACTCGTGGGGGTAAGTGCCGAAATTGCAGTCCAAACCATCCAGAGTGAGAATTCTTTCGTCACAGCCATCGTATATTCTATGGACGATCCTGCTATCATCATCGATTTCAGTTGTAATCGTGTTTTTGTTTTCGTTGACGACCAAGGCATCGTTGGTCGTGTTCCTTATGTTGGTTGATGTATCTCTACAGGAACTTGGGGCTCCTCTTGTTTCCTTTGCCTTATGCAATAAATGAACAATATAAAATTTGTGCACTAAGCTATTAATATCTCATGATATATCAACAAACTCCATTTGGGCTGTCAAAGAGTACTTGTTTTTATATATATATGCATGATGATCATTATTTAATTAGTGAGTTGCACAAAATGTCCTATTGTTCGTCTTGTGTTGTTTCATGTTTGTTAATGTCTGTCGTAATATAGTAAGTTTGTAGTCATGTGGCAATAAAAAAGTCGAGGGCAATGCTCCCTTTCAGATGTTTGTTGACATGATTTTATTTGGATTCATTTCAATCTCCCGATGACTGCAATATAGTCATTTAATTTCGTACCTTTTGATCAACACACATTCGCATGAGTATGTACGCGTGTGTGTTGATCTCATAATAAAAATTTTACTGCATATTGTTATTAGTGGTGAAAATAATCATTATATGAGTTTAGTACTCTTAAAAGCTTATGACTTATTTGGGGTTAGAAATTCAATAGGATAAATACAAGTGGACTTTATCCTTTTTCTCCTCCAAAACACCTACTTTGTGTCAATTTACCGCCAAAGATTGTACCGTTCAAATGTAACTATATGAAAAATGGGACAAAGAAATAAATAGAATCTTGCTTTTATACTTTGTTACTCATTGATTTACTTGACTATGAAGGATGGATTCGTTTAGTGAATCATTACAAAATATACACATGATCATTTTGACTTTTGGTACTTTTCAATTATACTTTTGTGCAATTCGTGTGATGCACGAACAAGCTTGTTACTTATTTTTTTTCTTTAATTATTTCGAGCATAATTGTTTATATTTAACATCTCATTATTGCAAGAAAAGAAAGACAATATATGAAAAATTATATATTATTAATTTGAATATAATGAGTGTCCCAACAAAAAAAAGAAATAATAATAACATCCAACGTATGATATGGTAAAATTAATTATATGAATCGTCATGCTTTTTTTTTTTTCTAAAAACAATATATAATATTTAATAAAAGATTTGCATTAAAATTTGTAATTTGGATATGGGATGAAAAAATGGATGTGTACAAAAAAATAGGTACCAAGAATACACATAATATGAGATTCTTTCTAAACTTTAAAATATTTTACAGTTAGATAAATATGGACAAATATATTATCAATTAAGTTGAACAACCCAAAATATAGAAATTAATTTGCGAGATTAACATTCTTTATTGAACAAATACTAAATTTTAGTTGTGACCACAAAATATGAGATTTGTAGATAGATAAATATAGATAAAAAAAATTATTTAATAATTAAGTTTCAAACGTTTCGAAAAGATTTCCAAACATTTCAAATATTTTAGTTGTTAAATAATTGACCGGATTTTTGTAACCAAATATACATGTTTGACCGAAAAAATCAAGGAAATGATTGATCGAGTTTTTTAGAAGCAAGATTTTCAATATTATTTCTCATTATTGGCCAAATTACTCGTAGCATTTAAGGAAATCGTTTGTTATATTCTTACTTTCTCAAATAATATATATTTATATTTATAATTTGAATTTAATTTTTCATTCAGCCGCCATTTTCCCAAAAAAAAAAAAAAATATTAAGAATAGTCACTTTAAAAATTTAAGCGGAAATTTTAATACTGATTCTAGTAAATCACGCTCTCTATTATATAGTAATAGATTTTTCTTTCATTAATTTCGAGTAGAGTGTTTAGCAATATGAAAAAAAAAAAAAAAAATATTGAGATACCATTTCTTACCATAAGCAGATATAAAGGATCAATATATAATATACCAAATAATTCGATTTCATACTTTACCGACTTTTTACAAATTTTTAGTATTATATTTAAAATTTTATATTATTTTTGTTCAAAATACCTAAAATATATATACACCAAAATATAACACTTTTTACATAGCTCGGTCGGTTTTATTATTTAAAATATGTATAAGAGATCCCAATTGAAATAAGATTTTAAAAGTAAAAACAACAATTGAACCAGAATATAAAACTCGAACCAACAAATTTAGTTCGTTTTGATTTGAGTTGCTATAGTGCAATTTTAATATTACTGATGTGCAATTCGATTAACACTAATGTGCACTCGAAATGCAGCTATATTGTAATGGTTTGTCTTGAACCGAACTGAAAATTGGAAAAATCAGTTTATTTGAATGGTGACCGAATTAACTAAGATAATCGAAATAATTATAATTTACGTTATAAAAAATGCATTAATATATTATTTGTTTAATATTTTATATTTTTTTTGTTTTGTAAAGACCTAAAATATATATATATATAACAAAATAATATTTTTTTATGTAGTTCGGTTTGTTTGGTTATTTTAAAAAATATAACCGACAACGAACCAAAGTATTTGAAAATTTAAAATTAAAAACATATAATCCAACCAATATTAAAGTTTCGAATCGAAAATTTTAGGCCTGTTTGTTCGCTCGCTAATGTAAATATGACAAATATTATTGTGCAATCAATTTAACACTAATGTGCAATATATTGGTCGCTAAAAAAATATAAGTATATTCACTAATTTTATTTTCAATCCCGCCTAAGAGCTAGGCTCAAACACTAAAAAAAAAAATGTTGTATTCCAACGGAAAATTCTACGGCAATATATTCCAATAGAAATTTAAACGGATATTCCAATGGTATAGCTTCCGTTGGAATGATTCCATCAAAATTTCCAACTGAATTATTCCATTGAAATTTAAATAGAATTTTATCATTCCAACGACCATTATTCCAAAGATTTTTTACCGTAAGAATTTCGTTGAAATATATCTAATTTTCGTTGGAATTTTTATTTTTGTACCGCTAGAGTCGTTTTTTGCCCGAAAATCACCAAGGCCGAACACTCATCTAGTCAACTTCGTGTAATCATGGCACCGTACTTTTTATCTCTTATGTAAATTATATAACGAGTGTGGTCCAATGGATTTGTATATTTCTCATTTGTTTTTATCACATTACATTACATGTATGATCCATCTCTCTCAAGGCCTCACACACACACATTTAACACATTTCTCATATTTATGTAATGACACATGGAATTTAAGGACCACAATATTCCAATCTTACGCGGTGCCAAACACAACACAACAAACAAGAGTTGTACTATAAATAACACATACTGGGCGCCTTTGAGAGACCACACAAGACACAACAATCAATCTATCAATCTCAGACAGCAAAGGAATTAGGGAAATGTCGATTTGCGAAGGTAATTAGCAAAATAGTGTTTATGCATAAATAAAAAAAAAAAAAATATTGCCAATGAGAGTCGTTATTTATTAATTCTTTTCACTTGCTAGTCTAAATAACTTACCCAATTTCACAACAATGCAGGCAAGCCAAGTTGGCCGGAACTCATTGGGGTAAGTGCTGAAATTGCAGTCCAAACCATTCAGAATGAGAATTCTTCCGTCAGAGCCATCGTTCGTTCTATAAACGATCCTATCCCCTTCGATTTCAGATGTGATCGAGTGTTTGTTATCGTTGACGACCAAGGCATCGTTGTTCGTGTTCCTTATGTTGGTTGATATCTCTCCAGGAACTTGGGCCGCGGGGCTCCTCTTGTTTTCTTTACCTCATGCAAATAAATGGACAATAAAAATTTGTGTGCTAATCTATTAATATCTCATGATATATCATATCAACAAGCTCCATTTGGGCTGTCAAAGGTTCATGTTGGAGTACTTGTTTATATGTGCATGATGATCATTATTTAATTAGTGAGCTGTTGCACAAAATGTCCTATTGTTCTGTCTTGTGTTGTTTGTTAATGTCTGCAGTAATTAATATAGTAAGTTTGTAGTCAATGTGGCAATAAAAAAGTCAAGGACGATGCTCCTTTTCAGATATATTTGTTGACATGATTTTATTGTGGTTCATTTCAACCTCCCGATGACTGCAGTATAGTCATTGAATTTCGTATCGTTTGATCAACACACATTCGTATGAGTATGTGTCTTGATATAATAATAAAAACTCATTAGTTCACTCTGACCCAACCCTCCATTTACTGCATATTGTTATTAGTGGTGAAAAATTATCATTATCAGATCAGAGTTTAGCACTCTCAAAAGCTTATGACTTATTTGGGGTTAGAAATACAATGGGACCAATACAGATTGACTTTATCGTTTTCTCCTCCAAAACAACACTTGGAGGCAATTTACCGCGAAAGATTGTACATTTCATAATGTAAATATGAAAAATGCGACAAATTTAAGAAATATAAGCTTGCTTTTATCCTTTGTTATTCATTGAGTTTACTTAACTCTGAAGGATGGATTCGTTGAGTGAATCACTACAAAATGAAAACATGATCTTGAGGACTTATGTTACTTTTCAATTATATTTGTTTATTTGTGAAGCTTGGTAATTTTATAATTTACTAATTTTTGGAGTTGGTACATATCGATCTTTAACTTTTATCATTTATTATATGGCCCTTTAAACTTATAAATTTTTTTGTCTAATTTAAAATATAAATATATATTAAAAATTCATATTTTTATTTTAAAAACTTTGTTATCATCAGCCGACCCGTTGCCGCCTCCATTTATCACATCAGTCTCAGAGCATCTCCAATAGTACATGGATTGCCCTCTTTCCATTGCCAGCTAACCTCCAAAATCCAAGGTGGCCTTCAATAAATCTAGAAGTCTTTCTAGATGTAGAAAGACTTCTAGACATCTTCCATTTAATATTCTATTATTTATTTTATATTTATGTTTCTACCAACCAATTATTATATTACATGTGTCAAATTATCTCACAATTGAGATTAACCATTGGAGACAAAATATTTTCTTTTCCTTTCTCCACATCATACATCTCAAAATACACATCGAGCCATTGGAGATGCTCTCAAGTTCCCCACAATGGAGGAAGCACCCGCTGCTCGGGAGTTCATCATGGCGATCTCGTCCAAGGAGATTTACACCCTCCATGGTGAAGAAGGTTGTAACGTTCCGAATATTTTTAGTATTTTTAGTATTTATATGCTCGAATTTTATTTTGTTTTTTGTAAGTCTAAGTCTCGGTATAAAATTTTAATCGAGCATTAAAAAAGTCGGGAATTCAATTAATTTCCGAGCCAAGCCCGTACACCGAGCCCAATAGCATTCTTGGCCAGTAGCACTCGCAACCCATTAATACTGCGTACATCCGAGCCCAATAGAAAAATTCGAGCCAACATTTAATTCGGCCCAAGCATTTTATTTTAACCCCGAATCTTCTTTAATTATTTAAGCACCAAGTCTCTTTAATGTCATATGTACCAATTTCCTACTAGCATAATATATTATACAGGAAATAGCACCCTGCACGATGTATATAATTTTTTATTACATAAATAATGTACACTTATAAATATTAGCATATTGACTAAATCTGTAGATTTTATTTGCAAAAATACCACAATCAAGATAATGCTATTTTAATGGTGAAATCTTATCACCTTCCAAATAATTCTCCCTCACTCTCTTCCACCATGGAAATAGGTCCGTCTCTCCCAAGCAGTAACCCTATTTTTTTTTCATATTTAAACCAGCTGCTATCCTCGGTTGGGAATTTTCGAAACTCTGCAATCGCCACAGAGAATCAGCCCCGAGCATCCGACAACGAGCCACCAGTGGCCGACTGTTGAGTGCTGACCTTAGCCGCAGCTAGACAGACCCGAGCCATCAACGACTTAAGCTCCAATTTCACGGTAACCACGTCGTCCGACCACGAGCAGCGAGTCGTGACCTTGAGCCACCATATTTCCGGCGAGAGCCGCGACTGGAGAACCACTACTTGCCGGCTGAAGAGGTGTTTGTGTGGGGTGGTGGTGGCGGGTGGCGGCTGAGAAGGTCGTGACTGGGTAAGAGCCGTGGCCGTAGGTTTGTATGGCAGGTAACGACGTCGGCTCGAAAATCAATGGTTTTGATGCTTCTTGGCGACTCAACTCCAGTCCTTACTAGCTATACATGGCCGGTAACGATGTTAGATCGGAGATTACAACGTTTGCGTAGCCGCCTTGGGACAACTCCAATTTTTTGAGAATTTTTTTCGTTTGATTTTATTGTGTTGTGGGATATATTGCGTATATATACAATATATTTTTTTAGTATGTGTTCTCATAAGAATAATCGAGTCTATTGTGTTTTTGACCGCGCGTCGCAACGCGGCAAAATTAAAATTTATATTTTCCTCAACTAACCTCTACTAGCTAGTAGTAGTGGCAAGTAAGGGTCGATCCCACAGGGAGTGTGAATCAAATTGTGAATTTTCTCGTATTAATTGAATTATGAAAGCAATAAAACGAGGGGGGTTTTGAATTTAAGAACTAAATTAACTAAGATCCTATTAAATAAAATAATATCTAAACAATGAAAATAAAAATAAATATAAAATAAATAAGAGAAATTTCTAGTTCACGGTTCCGTCTACACCCTCGACTGACTCGTCTAATCAATTCTGGCATCAAATCTCGCTATCTTATGAAATTACTAGCCCTAGGCAACGACACGGTCTGTTACCCGAATTTTTCCTTATTTTTAATCTAACCGCGAGACGCTCTACGATTAGACCTGACTTCTTGTACAGTCTAAAAAACGCTTATTAGATTTAATACAATCAGCCGCTTTACGAATTAGAAAAATAGGCTAGACTAAGTAGTGACGCATTCGTTCACTTAAATAGGCCGTGTTATCCCCGGTAGTTACCATCTTCCGGTAGCCTCTAATTGATTAAACATATCAACAATTACGGATTGACAGTTTGAATCTAGCAGTAGATATGAAAAGCCTAGTCTAGGTGATCAAGCTAAACAAGACTCAACAAATCATGGTTAATTATTCAAAATAACACAAGCGATTCCAAAGAGATATTAAAATCATCAACCATATAATCAATCAAAACATCATCAAATTGAAGGGTTCGACATCCCCGGAACTAGAAAGAAAAATTACTCTAACATAATAAATAAAAATAAAAAGAAAAGAAAGAGAATAGAATCATCCTCTTTCGTGTGCGGGTGCGGCCTCCCTCCGCTTTCGTCGGATTCCCCGTGTATGTTCGTGCGTTTGTCTGTCTGCTTGTTATCCGTGTGTGGCGGCTTGCGTGAATATATGGCGGCTGATATTCCCTCGTATGATGCGTGAATATAATAGGGGCTGCGTGGCCTCAGTTTTCTTTTCTTGCCAATTAACTCCTCAATTTCACTTTAACCAATTCTTGGGGCCCACAAGAATTATCAATTCAAATTAATTGCCCCAATCTCACTATATCTTTCACGTGTTACAACATCCAAATCACAGTGGGCTTTCCCAGCTGGCCCACATCGATTTTATGCAGTTTGGACTCTGATTAGTATTGTAATGGGTGTCCGGTAATTGATCGCGTGAACTTTCGCATAATGTTTTGCATCCATAAAATACGCCAATATGCTGAAAATAAATATAAAAATATCAAAGCACTCAAATCCTTCTGATAGATAAATAAGACAAGAAAAATATATAAGTGCGATAAACTTAAGCATATAAAAATACGCTAATAAATATATAAAACACACACTTTTTCCGACCAATCAGTTTTCTGTATATCTTCTATATATATTCTGTATACAATGACAAAATTGATTTATATCTTGAATATATGTTGTGAATTTTATCTATGTCGTCTGTATAGAATGAGTATATCTTCTGTATATAAGTCTGATCGTGTAGCGCCCCGTTCGATTAGTGGATTTTATGGATTTTTTGGATTATTAATTTATGATTACTATTAATTTTTATTGAATAATTGTCTAATTGATTATATTGCTTGCTAATATATTTATTATTATTGTGTGTATTATAAATATATATTTATATTGCCGGTTTGATTTATTTATTTATTTTTCCCGAGCATTGACCGATCGAACCCATCCTTAATATATTTATATCGGACCTTAGAGAACTGGCACGAGAGCCCGTAACTGCGTCCGAACTCGCGCCCGAGTCGCTCGGCTGACCCGCCCCTTTTGTTTTGTGGAAATTGATCCATTTAATTATAAAATTCAAATGCATAGGGTGTAGAATTGGAATCTCCTAGGACCATATTTTTTCCCTCCTTTGGTGCGGTCAAATTTCTTTCCCCCAAGCCATGCAGGACTCTAATTTTGGTTAGTAGATTATCATCACTCATGGGAAAATTAATTCCATCGAACACTTCCCTTATATCTTCACGTTTCTCCAGCTCTTTTTGTTTAGAAATCACGAAAATATCTCTCCCTCACTCCTCTCTTGCACGCCGTAAAAACCAGAGAGAGAAAAGCCTCCCAAAATTTTTGTGGCATCCCTTATCATCGGCGTCCCCACAACCTACGCGCGCGACCGACAATCAACCGAGAGAAGCAGCACCTCGCCGGACCTTTTAAATGCAGCAGCAACACTTCCCGTCGGCTTTTTTTTCCGAGTAGCAGCAGCCCCGTCGTCCGCAAGCGGGCAGCCGCCTCACAAGCGGCAGCAAGTAGCCAGGGTCGAGATAGTCGTGACCCCTAGAATCGGCC